TCTTCCGCAGCATCACGAGGCAGAATAATAGTCCTCCACTGCTGCAGGTGTACGGATTCTTGATTCATTTATTGCAACTACATTTAATCTTTTTCTCATCAAACAACCAGATTAATGAATAGCTCGACACAATCCGTTCCGGGGCAGAGTCTAGATAGCGCGTTCTTCTGTGTAGATATAAATTCTATGATTTGCAGCAGCTGGGCATGTATGATATGACGGCTATCATAGCCTACCCTGGTCGCCCAGTAAGTTTGTTTGTTTATTTAATTAATTACTTTTAAATAAAATATTTTAAACACTAATACAAAAGGGAAAGAATAATGCATTGACTTATAGAATAGGCCTATAACGTTCAAGAACGGTGTCATTCTGACTATCTTACAATCGGAGAACAACAGAGATAAAATACATACTCTTTTGAGTTTTATAATATAGTCTTTTGTTTTATTAAAACTGATTATAATTGAGACCTCAAAATGATATGCGCTTGTGCCGGCCGCGAACTGCATGCACACTCGCACACAGGACTGCAACGCAAGATTTTCATAAATGTAATAACTTGTCATTTCAGGTTGATTCTCACCAAACCCCACAGAATACATTAAGAACGCTTGGAATATACACCACGAGATGCATAGGATTATTTTACAACAGATTTGCATCCGCTTAAAAAAGTGAAAGTCACCAACTCTGTCATTCTCTGCCAAGTGAGAGCAGGACATTTTGTGTGTGTGTGTCCCAGATAGCAAAATTCCTGAGGCCCAAATCAGGCCCACACCTGACACTTTCATCTGGCCCACATACCGCGTGGAATGATGGCATTTGGGCGGTCCGCTCCTGTTTGCCAGATTTGGGCCACAAGCAAGCCAAAAGAAGGCCCAATGTCAACCATGAATAAACCAAATAAAGCAGAACTGGCCCATATCTGGGTCACATTGATTTGAATTCTGGCACAGATCCAACACCTTGCTCCGGCCCACATACTGCGTGGAATAATGGCATTTGGGCAGTCCAGTTCTGTTTGCCAGATTTGGGCCTCAAGTAAGCCTTAGCATTGCTGCATGTAAGCCAACCAAATAAACCAAAACTGGCCCTAATGTGGGCCACAGTTGATTTTTATTCTAACCCTGGTCTTCCCCACATTCCTCATGTGGCCCACATGCTGCATGGAATGGTGGCATTTTGGCAGTGGTCCACAAGCAGGCCACTACACAGCCACATTTGAGCTAATAATGAACTAAATAAACCATAAATATACATTATCTGGGCCACACTAAGCCTTAAGTGAGTTATGCATCAACAATACTCAACATTGTAAAGAGAAATTTATAAATGTCCTCCATAAATGTTCAAATAAGTTCCAGAAATGTGCTCTACTTGATAAAATCATCCCGACCCAAGTTTTGCACAAACAGCAATTAAAATGTCACAGATAAACATTCAAAGACACATTCCAATACTTTAAAAACTGTTCTTCACAAGTTTGAACTTAAATGCTTCTCACTTAGACTCTACCTACACAGTAAGCCTGTGAGTGTCATTGCTACGCTGTGTTAAAGACCGCACGACAAAAGACGAAAGGTAATATATCATAAGTCTTTAATCCAACAAGGGTAAATCCAAACACAATGTAGCACAA